ACTGGGACCAACAAGATCCTTTCAGTTTATTAACTTGTGTGATGTTGACTGTTAAAAGGAGCAAAAGCCTAGAGCCTTTGAAGACTAACAAATCTCCTATGTTATAGGCATTTAAATGATGCAGTTTATTTCATTTGATATTTAAAGTGTTCCCAAACCCTATGCTATAGTAAATTAGTCTTCAGGTTGCTACAGTACTTTATTTTTGCTGCCATAAAATAGAACAGCAGACTGAAAAACTTCCTAAAGCACTTATTTTATACTGCATACCTAAATTTAACTCTCAGAAGACGTTCAAAATTGTGTTTATCTGTTTCAGTATAAAAGAGAAAGGAAAATGAGTCTTTTGGCACCTTTAAGACAAGCCAGTTTATTTCAGCATAAGAATTTGTGGAATACAAGCTTGCTTGCCAACCTCTTTACGTCTCAAAGATTGGCTTTTGAGATGCTTAGTCAGCTTTGTTTAATTCAGTCAATTAGCCAGAAATCTCCTTAAAGTTTCTTTTAATCCCTGGGAGTCAAACTATTGAATCCCTTTGTTCTCCCTCATCTTCTAAATTATCAGTTTTAGCATGGACAAATTCTCACAGGTCTAAGAATGTGCAGGAGTTTATCTGACTCTCAGCCTGTTCCTTGCAATGTTTTATAGAACTCCTAGAGCTTAGCCCATGTTTCCTGGACGAAAGTGTTTCTTATTCTCCTGCCTTTAATGACCTTCTTACTCTGTCCTTGGGCTTTGTTGCTTCTGAGCACTCACTGAAGCCTTGTAGGTGTCTTCCGTTCTGCAGCACAATCCATACTATGAGATCGCTTTTCATGTCTAGGACAGCCATGAGCCCTCATTCTGTATATGCAGCCTCTACTTTTGGACACTGATGTTTTATAGGTTCCTTGGAGTCTCGAGAGCCTGTACATTGCAGGAGATTGTGTCATGCCTTGAGTTGTTGATGTTTTGGGAGAGCTTGGAAAAAATTAATTTTGGGAACACAGGTTCCAGAATTAGTTACCCAGCATTAGAGAATTTTGGAAGTTATATCCCAGAACAAGTAACCTTTAGACTCTCTTCCTTAAATCCCATGGTTTATATGTTTAGTGGTAAAGCTGAGAACCTTGAGCAGGGATGACAATTTCTACAGGTCTGGAGGATGCACGTGCCTTTGCTAGATCTGCAAGGCCAGATCGTTCATGTACCATCCTATATATTTTTAAAGAAAACTTGAAAAATACCTGTGTTCATTCCAGGAACTGATGGTCTACTCCTCCAGAATTCTTCCCTTTGTTTTAGGCTTAAGTGGAGATTTTTTTAAAAGAATAGATTATCTGTTGTGAAAGAATGCCTAGCTCAGTTCTAAGGGAAGGCAAAAATGTGATTTATCCCCATGCCCTTTCAATAACTTCCCAGCAATACCATGCTACTTTGAACAAAAGCTTTGAAGTCCAGGCTTGTACTCCTGGAAGTTCCAATTTCACCGTGGCCAATTAAGATGTAATTGTTTATATTCACTTTCTTCTGAAAACATTATATAAACTCTCCCTGACTTTATTTTTTCCTTGTGCTGTTCTAAATCTCTATTCTGCCTCTACATGACCTGACCTTGTACAACTACAACATTCCTTTATCATGCTATTTCCTCAACACACTCCCTTTTCCTTTCTTTGGCAGCTCACAGAATTTGCCTCTATTTGTTCTTCTCTCTCAACTTTTAAAAATATGTTGGTCTCATGCTAAAGGTCTACTGCAATAATCTAGCCCTCTTCCTTTAAATGTTTAAGATTTTTTCAAAGAGTAGCTTTTCCCTGCTATAGATTCAAGTATAGCAGAAACTCCTGTATCCTCACTATACCCCTGCAAAATATGTTTTGTATCCTGTACTGTCATTTTGAAACCAGATAAAACAATTCATAACATTAATTGGCCAAACATAATACAAAATACAAAAACAACTTTTAAAGCCACAGTAACAGTTTAGAAACTGTTAGAAAGGCAACTTAGAAATATGGCTTTTGTTTCTCTTCCTGAATGTTGAGAAGTGAGTGCCAACTAAAAAGGGAATGCATTCCCAAGCTGGTGCGACACGGAGAACTCTTATGAGTGTGAAAAAGGGGGTATCTTCATAAGGGACTGTCCTGCTAATTTTTAATAACATAGTAGATTCATGCTAAGAAAAAGAGTGATAGATCGCCAGGCATAATCTTGAGTAGATCCCAGAACATAGTTGCCTAGCACCACAGTTTTTGGACAGGCAAATTAGAAATATTTGACTTACAAATTAGAAACATTCAACTTACAAACAACTCATAGTTAAGAATGGGGATGAGACAACAGAAAGTGAGAAAAATCTACCCCTTGGAAGAGTTATCAACTTAAGCTTTATTACCAATCCTTGTTTCCACAACAAGCCACATTTTCAAAATCTAATAATCACAGGGACAGAAAGAGAGGTGAAAACTTCTGAACAGGGGCACAGACAGCAAAACTAACATCACAGTGTTGACTCTTCCCTATGCTCTCAAAAGCTTATATATGTTTGACTGGAGTTACACTTTAAAATGTACCTGTTCTGACTTACATATATATTCAACTTAAGAACAAACCTGCAAAACCTATCTTGTTCATAACTTGGGGACTTCCTGTATTATGGTGATTTGGTCATGGATTAGCATTCTAGCTGCTGCATTTTCTACCAGTTGAAACTTCTGGACATTCTTCAAGGAAAGCTCAATATAGGACACATTGCAATAGCTTCTGTGTTGTCAGATTCATTAAGATCACGTTGAAGTTCACAACCTAAACCATACTTTTTGCTGACCAACATCATCTCCATTTTCTCTGCATTTTATTTTAGCGCGTTTACCTTTATTCAACCCATTGCTGAGCTCAGGCAACACTCAAGGATGCTAGTTGCTTCCTTGGAAGTAGGTAGCAAAGTGCTTCAGAGCTGAGATCAGCATGTTGATGATATCTTACTTGAATGCTGTGGATTACCTTTTATATGTGACAGGGATGGGTGAAATATGTTGCTGTATAGCTGGAACTGATGAGAGGACCACCCTTTGATCACCTGTGTAACATTTAATACATGCAGAACAAACTACTGTGGAACACACTTTCACTTTGGTCGTTTTTGTTTTTATTAGTAGACAGCTAGTAAATAGACCACATTATGAGTTTGGAAGCAATTCTTGGACATCAGCAAGCTCCTGGATTACTGTGGAGTGTTAGAAGTAACTTAACTCTATATTCCCATAAGATGAATTGGCATTAGTTTGTGTGCAGTAGTATCTTCCCTCTGTCTTAAAACTGAAACTGTATGTTGTTCCGATAGTTTAACTTAGTGAGAAGAGTTGAGTTTTACTTCTGCTAAGCTATCCAGGAAAACTTCCCCCACTCTGTTTATAGAAAATAGTCCAGTATTTCATCACTTTGCTATGTTGTCTAATTATCTGCATGTACTTTTTCCTTAATGGACCAATACTTATGACAGAAATAGATTGGAAAATTACCAGCCTTATTTTATGTTTTGGAAAGCAGGTAGATATCGATAGATACACACACAGAGATATACACGTATACATATACATACACACACATACATACGTATACACACCTGTAGCTTTTGCCAATCTGCAAAGAAGGCTGTAAATGAAAAATTGATCTTTTCTGTAAAATGTGTAGCAAGCCACTTAAAAAAGATCTCTCAAGGAAAATATGGAATGTACTGAATAACCTTCCTATAGCAGCTACAGGTTTCAGAACCCTTGAAGTGTATCCTTGCCTCAGTTACTTTTGTTTCTAGGTACTTACCTTGAGGGTTATAGGTAACTCTTTTGGTAGAATACAGATAGGGGCTTCCATTTCACACATTATGCAAGTGGTGTGGTTGCTGCAATGGTAACAAAATCTACGGAAGGCAGTTACATGGGAAGTTTTGTGTAGTAGATCCCAACATGTTTGGGGTTCATTTTAATAGTGGTTGATTTGAGCAGTTCCCTGATCCATGTGGAAACTGTTGTGTGCACGTGAACTCTTCATGTCTGGGGTCAACTTAAATTTAAAACCCTGTACTTCTGCACAGGTTGGTATTTTTCATATCTGTGAAAATATATGCTATATAATGGGGTATTCCTTGGTGCCAAACCGGACGCCTAGCTGTATTCTAACTTCAGCAGAATTATTTATCCAGCTCCTCCTTTGGCTCTGTTAGTTTCCAAAATTATTTTCATTCCTCCACTTTGCACTTCTCAACAAAACGATGGCAAACCTGAGTTAAGATTTGTCCACCAATGGTTACATTTCTACCTACATCTCCCTAACTAAGAATGAGAGGTTGGGCCATCTTTTACTTTCTTTTAGAGAAACTGCAAATAAACAGACAAATACAGGATATGTGATAAGGTTGTGATAAGATTGTTACTAGGGCATTTCATGTTTAGCCACCCCCTAGATTGACAGCTGATGGTTGTTGCTGTATCTTCAAGTAGTTTCTAATGTATGGCAACCCTAAGCTAAACCTATCATGTAGTGGGTTTGCCTTTGCCTCCCTCTGAATCCGACAGAGTATGACATGTTTAAGGTCACCCAGTGGGTTTCCATGGTTAAATGAAGATTTGAACCCCAATTTCCAGAGCCATAATCCAATGTTCAAATCACTATACTCTTCTGGCTCCCAACTGATGGTACATTAAATAAAGTAAATTTCTACTCAAACTGGGAAGAGGCAATATTTCTAAAACTCTGAATGTACTATATTTTCAAACCTAACCCTATGGCAGTACATTTTGCTAACTTTTGTTCATAGTTCTGCATGAAATCCTAATTTTTGGACCCTACTGCCAGTTTCCTGTGTGTTTAGCAAACCGGCTAGTTCATAAGCTTTTAATCTGTTTTTCAAAAACCTAAAAGCTGCTTAACTTGTTATTACAGTTTCACCATCTTTAAAGTATTTTATAACTACTGCTGTCCTTTGATTTGTTTCCATTTTATTTCTATTATCTTGCAGCATCTTTTATCCAAATTCTTCTTTCTTATAAATCTTGTAAGTAGGAACTAGTAGCTTCTCTTTAATTGCAGTCATGTTTTTTTTTCCTTTTTTGCATAATTCCATTTTTTAATTTGTATCATCGCCATCCTTTGTAGCTTTTGCTTTTTACATGGGAAGGAAAAGTAACTGTGTGTGGCTTCTTTAATGGGGAAGATTGTTGGCAAAAGCAAGTTAATCTGCCTGAATCAATCCCATCATTTTCTGTACTCTAGTCTGTGATCATGTCATGAATTTAAGGACTTTGCACTAACCGTGTTTTTTTCTTAAAGCTTATTTTATACAAAACTAGTGTTTTGATTTGTATGCATTTTGCATGTAGTATTTTTCCTAATTTCCTAATTTTGCCGGATAGCTAATTCAGGACAAAAATGGCTCATGGGAAAATACATAAAGATTTGGGTTTAATTGCTTATTCTGTGAAAAAAATCAGTAAAGAAATTGTTTTAAAAATATGATTGACCTTGACTTAATTCTTCTAAATTGTAAAACCATCCAATTTGCAAAGAACATTCAAAACGTAAACAGAGCTTCTGTTTGTAAGACTGTAGTTGTTTAGACTTCAATCCTATGTGCACTTATTTAGGGTAAATTTTATTGAATTTGATGAGACTCCTGAATAAGAATGCTTAGGATGAGTCTACAAATGATCTTTCCCCTTTGTTTACAGAGTTATATCACAGACTTTAGTTGATTTAGTAATGACAGAAAGAGGTGATACTTTCTGTGAACATCTTTCTGTATTATAATCCTAAACTGTTCACCTTTTCCTAGAAATGTGATATCACCTCAGTGCTTTCTCTTGGAAATTTTCCAAAACTTCTAGGGAAATTGCATTCTTATTCTTAATATCCTCTTATTGATTGAGAGAGGTGGAAGAAATGAAGCAAATGTATGTTTGTACAGACTGACAACACAGAATTACAGGAAGAGTATCCCTAATCTGGAAATCCAAAATGCCCTCAAATCTGAATCTTTTTTGCCAGCTGCCCTCTTCCACCTGTGGGGTGGTATATTTGCTCACAAAGCAGAAATGAGTGGCCAGTGGGCTCTACAGACATCTCCTGTACCAAATGTACAGTCAGCCCCTCAACACACACATTCTCATGCGTCTCTTTCACATATTTAATTATTTACAAGTTTGTAACTGCTGCCCAATCTACTTGACCTCCTTGCCCCCCCTTCTGCTGCCCCTCTATTACAGCATGTCACCACAAAGCCTCATCTAGATTTTGAATCCCTTCCTTCCTGGATGAGGCACTTTGTGGTGTGGAAGGGAATGAGAGGCTGGTGCTGTTTGCAGGATAGCAGCAGAGAGGTGGAGGGGCAACAAATGAAGTGGGGCAAGGTGGAACAGAGGGAAATGCTTTCGAAATGGGCTGGGCCTGTAGGCAGGACCCCCACGAATGTGTAGAGGCTGATTGTATTCTATTTTCCCCTTCAAATCAGGCTCCTTATATCCTCAGTCTCTCTCCAGCCTTGTGTCTCATTAACAAGTAGTGAACAGAGAAGATGCGAGGTTTGAGAAAGGACCAATGAAACAGTGGGAGAGGAGACCTCATGCTGAACACTGTGCTTGAATTCCTGCCCTTTCACAGATATTCCTAAATCCCACCCCAGTTCCAAAATCCAAAACACTTTAGGTCTCAAGCATTTCAGGTAAGGGATATTTGATCTGTATAAATACATACAACTTGGCTGGTGTTGAGAGAAATAAAGACAAAGAAAGAGCCAACCCAGTTAGCTTCTTGGTGTATTTAATAAATTATCAGATCTTGTCCTTAACCCGTGACAACCAGGATATACAGGGCAAGATTCCACATGCATACAGGAAGTTTTACCTTCCAATTTCCCTCCCATCACTCTTGTTTCTTATAAATGCCATTCCAGGTTGTAGGCCTAAGAAATGGCTTCACAGATGTGGAGTCCTTGAATATTTATTTTCTTTATCTATAGATCCCCATCCATTTTCTTGCAGAATGCTTAATCCTTATCCCAAGTTGTTCCTTTTAGATGTTTTGAAGCAGGGTTAATGAAAAAAGTCTAAAGACCATCCCAGTAAGAAATTCTAATCACCTTATGTATTACTCGGTGCTTCCCCTAAACCCACTTTCCATTGTCATCTGATATTTTCCTGTTTCCAGAGCTTGTATAACTACTTTTAGCTTCAGGAGGATAGAAATAATAGACTGATTTCACAACAGTAACAAGATAAAGGGCAATAATTGTGGAATTAATAGAAACTTGTATGATTTAAATGACAGAAATCTGTTTTTGAGGCTCATTAGGAATTTGTAGGGATAGCTAGGAAAAGCAAAGACGTGGTAAAGGGTTTTAGGTATTTAATTGAGGAACCTCTTGCTGATGCACACTGCTGTAAATTTTAATGAACCAGAGACCTCTGCTTGAGCAGCATGGGATGTTGCAGCATAGAGCTGTGAGGGAGACAATTATATACTTGTGTGTAGATAATAAAGACATATAATTTCTCATTAATTACAAAACATACTTATATTCCCTAAATGCATTATAAACAGAGGCAGCAATCCAAATGTAATGAATTAATGGCTTTCATGATGACTAAATTTGACTTGATCTTTGTGTCTAGGATCCCATGAGCCTATTCAATACATTGACAAACGTAATGAAACTCTGTGCTTCTCATTCTTTATTTTAGCTATAGCAACACAAGCTAGTGTGGAGTTTCGCCGGAAAGGATCGCAAATGTCCGCTGACACTATGGCCTCCAATCCCATGTTTGATGCAGGCGAATTTTCAGACAACTATGAAGCAGGCAGAGCAGAAGCCTGTGGAACCCTTTGTAGGATATTTTGTAGCAAGAAGACTGGAGAAGATATATTGCCAGCCTATTTATCCCGGTACTGACTTGATTTTTAATGGTGTAATATTAGAAGGATTAGCAGTTGAATATCTGTAGAAGGGACTCTCTGTTCTCCAATATGCAGCATCATGTTGTGTTGACATAACATTGTGAAGTTTCCGTGTTTCACAATGCTGTCTGCTATAGCTAGGATAACATGTAACGTGATTACCTATTGACCGCAGTGGTGTTGCTTCATGATACTGAGAGGGGAGGAAAACTCTGCTTTATTGTACCATTTTAGTGGTATATGCCTTACTTGTAATGTGTCATTTCACACTTGAAACTAATTAGGAGAAGCCTATTTAACAGGGACATGCAATAATGTTTTACCAGCTACCACATGCTTCCAAATCAGTTTTTCCTATCTTTTTTCATGTAAATATGTTTTTTTCAAATGTTCAGTACTTCTCTACTGTATGTGTATATGTTCCTTCAAGTCACCTGTCACCATATGATGAGCTTAGAGCAGTGGTTCTCAACCTGTGGGTCCCCAAATGTTTTGGTCTTTAACTCCCAGAAATCCTACAGCTGGTAAATTGGTTGGGATTTCTAGGAGTTGTTGGCCAAAACACCTGGGGATCCACAGGTTGAGAACCACTGGCCTAGAGCATCTGGTTAAGCAAGGAATACTTAAAGGTGGTTGTACCAGTTTTTCCTCTGAAAAACCACCTACAGCACCTAGTATTCATTGCTAGTCTCCCATCCAATTGCTAAACAGGACTAACCCTGCTTAGCTTCCATTCTCAGATAGGATCTATTGCTATTAGCTTATTTAGGCCACTCTTCCTTACTACTGGTCTGTACACTTTTTCAACTAGTGTATTTGCTACTGATGCAAATAAAACTGTAGCTTCAGTCAAAACAAAAGCATATCAAGAGATCTAATCAGTTCTGTGATTCTACAACACGCCCTCGGAGAGCTCAATATTACAGTCTGTTTTGTGGATTGTTTGTGCATAGCCCAAATGGAGCACATTCCTTTGTGTTTGAAGCTCTAAAACACTGTTTTAAAAAGTTGTTTGAAGAATTAGTATCTTCCCTCTGGGATAGAGTGAGCATTTTTTGTTCACAAAACTAATCAAAGTGGCTGCAGGACTAAAAACGACCATGCTGTCTGACCTATAGCTTTTTCTTTAAGTCAAAAACATGATAGATCCTTACATGGCTATTGTATTTAAATGTAAATGCTGATAAATATTGGATTCTGATGTTTCTTTCTCATAACTCACTAAATTTGTCTTTCTTTGCCAGATTTTATATGCTTTTAATTCAGGGTTTGCAGATAGCAGATTCCATTTGCCACCCAGTTCTCGCTAGTATTATTCTGAACTCCCCTGCGTTGTTCTGCTGTGACTTGAAAGGGATTGATGTCTTAGTTCCTTATTTCATTTCAGCACTTGAAACTATTTTGCCTGACAGGTAAATATATATGTGCTTATATTTATTTTAGTTTTTAAAAAAGAAATCTACTTTCTACTCCATATTTAAGAATTACAAAATTAAAACTATAGACCAAGTTGGTAACTTACATAACAAGTAACTTGGAGCAGCAAACTATGTTTGAAAGAAGGGAAGGAAAACAATGTCAATATGCTTCTTTAGTGGTGAACTTCCTTTGTCTCCTAGATGTCATGCAGTGTACAAATTTCATTGTATGAATGCTTGTCCGAAGCCTAGATTTATCTGTATGGAAGGGAATTGAAGATAGGTGCCTTAGACTGACTTGAAAGAGCATTATGGTGCCAGGTTTTGTTCCACAATCTGTTCAGGATTAAAGTTACAGGAGATATGTGCCTGGCACCCTAGTGTTGGCACATTGAAGGTCTTACTTTTTGGCTGTCAGTGTAAAGACACAGGTACTATAAATCTTAAAGCAGAATAATGATTCCATTGTTGTCTGCTTGCAAACATGAAGTTAATGCTTTGGTACACTCTTGCATCAGAATAACCTAGCATGCACATTGGAAACCAGGTTTGGCAAAAGTAGTTTTCTTTTTAAAATAGGTTGTGGTTTTTAAAAATAGAAATAGTTGATTGCAAAATAATGATTTAAAATCTGATTTTTACTTGCAGGGAACTCTCAAAATTTAAAACATATGTAAATCCCACAGAACTAAGAAGGGCCTCCATCAATATTTTACTCTCCTTGTTGCCTCTTCCTCATCATTTTGGAATAGTAAAATCAGAGGTAATTGACATCAGTGTTTTCAGATAACCATTTGTACAATTTTAACTTAAGTCTCTTACTTGTACTTTCCAGTCAGCAGTTAAGATACATCGCTTGTGTAAAATAGAAATACGAAATAAAATTCAGCATAGCAAAGAGGAACTTTGATTCATAGAACATAGTATAGTATTATTACTGATCCCGTTACTTTAATACTGCTAACAAATCAGTTTATATTGGTACACCAGTTTACGCATATTTAAGATAGAACATACCAATAATGGGAAAATCACCTGCCATACAGTTTGCATACTTCATGAGACTAGATAATTTGTATATTTCTCTTGTGTGGAAAGTGGCAGTGCAGACTTTGTAACTGCAAGTTTTAAAAGCCTAAATATCTGTGGTATTAATTGGTTTGCTTTATATTAAGTGGGAAGATAGTTAAACATCATTGAATTGCTGTTTTTATTTAGCTGGAGTTGCATGAAGGGCAGTTTTATGTTCTGTTTGTTGACATCATTTAATTCGTTTTCTGTGTCAATTTTTTCTTGAGTCGGTAAGAGTTAATAAGCTAGAAAAATGGTACAAACACATTTCAGGTATCTGTTACACCCGTGGAACAAATATATGCTGGTCCTACTAGTTTCTTCTTCTATTACCATAGATGATGAAAGCTGTTTATTTTTCAGGTTGTTCTGGAAGGAAAATTCAGCAATGATGACAGTTCATCATATGATAAGCCAGTAACTTTCCTGTCCTTGAAGCTGAGGCTTGTGAATATACTAATAGGAGCGCTGCAAACAGAAACAGATCCCAACAACACACAGATGATACTAGGTTGCATTTTCTGTTTATCTCACTTTTGAAACTGCTTGCCCTTGGTAATTCAGGGTTCACAATAACTTGGAGAAGTACCTAAATTGTGGCAGCTCTGTTTCCCAGATTAGGACAGACTGCAGGTGGCTGTAGATGTGGGTTATGGCACAAACAAACCTGAAGCTATAAGTACCAGAGAAATAGCTTAACAGAGAGAGAATGGACCTGATGAAGAAGCAGATACAGGATGCAACAGGCAGCTAGAAGGAAGTCAATGAATAGTTTTGATGCAGGCAGGCAGTTGATTGCTTATCTGCATCAGAGGAGTTACCCAGATTGAGAGAGTGCTGTATGGCACCAGCACTTAGTGCTATGTGATACTCTTAGCATATTGTTGTGAGTCAAAATTCACGATACGATGACTCTTTCCAAGAGGAGTGGGTCCAATGTGGCCCTCCAGATATAGTTGCAGTGCTGCTCTCATTGTCTTAACTAATTAGAGCTTATGGAAGTTGCAATCCAGCAACATCTGGAGGTCCCATCCATGCTATAATGTGTTTATATATATGTGCGTGATAGACTCATATAATAATAAAACAATAGTTAGAAGAAACCACATGGGCCATCTTGTCAAACCCCCTGTCATGCAGGAAAAGCACTATCAAAGCAGGCCCAACAGGTGGCCATCCAGCTTCTGTTTAAAAGCTTCCAAGGAAGGAGTTTCCACCACACTCCAAGGCAGAGAGTTCCACTGCTGAATAGCTCTGGAACTCTGTCAGGAAGTTCTTCTTAATGTTCAGCTGTAATCTCCTTTCCTGTCATTTGAACCCATTGTTCTGAGTTGTCGTTTCCAGGGCAGCAGACAACAAGCCTGCTCCCTCTTCCTTATGATATCTTTTCACATATTTATACATGGCTATCTTGCCTCCTCTCATGGCTGTAGCAACATTAACACTGTGCTGTGCAGTTTGAAAGTCTCTCTGCATTCTCCCCCAATCATTGTTAATGAGGAAATTTATGCAAAGTCCTGTTTTGTTTCTATATTTTCAAACTCAGATAAATCAATTGGTCATTATTAACAAAATGGACTTCGGAAGCATAATACATAGGGTATAAGCTTAATTCCATTTGTTTATCAAGATGATCTTCTTCCCTAAAACAGTGGTTCTCAACCTTTGGTCCTCCATTTTCTTTGGACTTCAACTCTCAGAAACCCCAGCCAGTTTACCAGCTGTTAGGAATTGTGGGAGCTGAAGTCAAAACACTGGAGGACCAAAGGCTGGGAAACAAGGATTTCAGCAACAGTACTGCTATTTGACATGTTAGAGAAGAGGAAACTGTAAAGAGCTATAGAGGTGGTGGGGTTCTGCATTCTTGCAAAATATAGTATCTTAGCATTTTGTAAAACAACTTTACAAACATTCTAGCTATCAGGAAACAGTTTGGATCATTGCCACTATTCTTCATACACATATTCAATATGGTGACAAGATAAAAAAGTTCCTAAGCAAAAAAAATAAAAATACCTCAGCTTCCTGTTCTAAGGCTCCTCTGTTTTCCTATAATAAAAGTTCTTTTTCTGACACTTCTGTAAACATTTTGGCTGGCAATAAGAAAGTTGGATTTTGCTGTGTAAGGTGTTCATTTAAGAAATGCCAATCTGTTAAATCCAAAGTGTACAAATAGCATGCACCCTCTTATTTATTTGTTTATTTATTTAAATCATTTATATTCTGCCCTTCTCACCCCGAAGGGGTCTCATGGTGGAGCACAGCATATATATGGCAAACATTCAATGCCGGGACAAGAATTCATTATATGCATGCATAAACATTAAAAACATTTATCTCAGCATTAAAATACACTGTTTAAAACTGTCTCGATCATCCGCATTAAAATCTAATTGGCCTGGTAAGGCTTCCTCTTCTGGTTCTTATGTACTAATGTTCGATGCTTATCAAGCAAAACAAAGCATCAACATAAAAGGATGGGAAAACCCCAAAGTTTGCAAAAAAAATCATCCCCAAAATAGCAAAAGTAGCAGTGGATTGCTGGCCAATTGCTGGTAGATTAAAGTGACAAACTGGGGAGAAATGATAGTAAAAGACAGTAAAAATGTCCAAAAAGAGGATATGTGTTTGGCTGGAATTTTAGACAGGTATACACTATTCTGTGTTGCAAGTCCCACTGGTTTTCCTAGAAGCTTGGTTATTTTCCTCATGTAAAAGTTTGCATAGGATTCAGTACATTAATGATCTTTTGGAGTGTGTGCTTTCCTCACAAACTGTTTTTAGCATCCCTCCCACATCTTCAAATGAGGGCCATTCAGACATAAAAGGAATTTGTCACTTTTAGCAGCTGAAGCATATTTTAGTCAGAATAAAATATCTAGGATATTTATCCCAATTTTTGCTATCTGCACTTATAACACATTCCTGAGAATTATTTGTCATATATCTTTTTACACAACACATTTCAGATGTAAAGTCTATGTATTTTTAATTCTGCAGGTGCAATGTTGAACATTGTTCAAGACTCGGCACTTCTAGAAGTCACTGGTTGCCAGATGGAGACAGTAAGTTTATTTCCTTGTTTTGAGAAATCATGTTGTCATTTTTGATCATAGCAGATTATGCCAGGGATACTTGTCTCAGAGGTGTCAGAGAACACATCTTCCAGCATCATTCAGTCCTTTTCTCTAACTTAACAGAATGGAGGTGAGAATGTGGTCTCAAAAAGCCACAGCCGCACCAACAGTGGCATTAGTACAGCAAGTGGAGGCAGCACTGAGCCCACTACGCCTGACAGTGAGAGACCAGCACAGGCTCTCCTACGGGATTATGGTAAGCAATTGGACTTCTTAAATATTTACAGAAGTGCCCTATGTCACAATCTCAATTTTTTAAATAAAAGACATTTCAGCTGTAAGATTTTGGAATATATGTAGATCTCAGTATAAAAATTAAGAAGGCACAATGTTTTCATTTTGTAATAAATCAAATCACCACTATGATGATGGTGACTATTGAAGACCCTGGCAGTGATCAAAGCTGGTGAAGACTAGGAAGCATCAGTTGGTACAAATAGGAAAACCAGCACACTCACAAGTTCTGCAATTCCTCAAAACAGCCAGATGCTGGATCAGGACATGACAAACCCGGTAGTAGCTAATCAGACCTAGTAATTAAGAGACAGGAAGGAAAAGGATTGGCAATGGTGTTGAAATACAAAGGATTATTAAGAACATATGGGAAGTAGTTTTAAATGATCCAAAGGAGAGAAACTGAAAAGTAGCTGGCATGCTGGCTCAAATGAGAGAGTGGGAACAGCCACTATCCTATGAATGTAGAAGAATAGGGAGGAGAAGTATGGATGGCAGCAATAGTGGACACTGTCTGACCTGCAGAACAGAGGTGCTCCAAATATTGCCAGTATCACATGGTGTTCTTATTAGAGAGGTCTGTGCAGAGCCCATCATTTCCCCAAAGCAACCAGCCACAAGGCATATGCAGCCAGGACACCTGCCTTCAACATTCTAGTGTCTTGTGGGTTCTCACAAGATGAGCACAGCAGCTACTCACTATTGTTTACTTTCTGTGCAGGAAAGATATTGTCCTTGGTTTAGCTACCAGGGCTAGCAGGTTTTATTTCTGAGAGGATACAGTCCTTGGTTTAGATTAAGTCCTTCCTAAAATGGGAATCGGTTACATGTACTTAATTTCACCCTTGAAGCCTTCTGGACCTGTTTATTTGCCAAACATCCAGCAGGCTTCAGGGGTGAAATTAAGTACATGTAACCGAGTTGTTTATGTTCTCTCTCCAGAGTGAAGGGAGAAAGGGAAGGAGAGGAGATCTAGGGTTGTGGTTGCTCTGTTGGGAAAGCTGTAGTCCTTTCAGTAGTATATAGTTTGGTTTCATGGGATGGTATTACTTTCATCCTCTTTTCAGCTGCTCCAGTGTCAAAGTACTTCAGCCCTATTTCATCTGAGAGGGAGGATAATATGCTTCATCTGGGAGGGAGGATCATATGCTTGTTTTTTCCCCAGTTCCTTGTTTTTGTCTTCGAGTTTTATGTGTTTCATATGCTTATATTGTTATGGAGGCTAATAAAGTATTAACTGAATCTGTTCCATGTTCTAGTTTTGATCTGAAAAATCTAGAATTTTGTAAACTGTTTGTCATTCTGTTGCCAACATTAACTGATATTAATCTAATGTTCCTGAAATTTGGTGTGTGTTATGTGCTGCAAATGTATTTAAAAAGCAATGTGCTGCATGAGTATTAGAATATTTAGAATTACCTTCTGGAATTGGCGAATGTACTGTTTCCTTTGCAGCAATATATATATATTTCTTTAATAATAATAATAATAATAATAATAATTTTAGCATCTAAATTTAACTTGGAATGTCCTTGTTCACTAGAAATACTTTTGTTTTCTGTACTTTTCAAATGTGTACTGAGTTGTTATAGCTTTATGGTATCTCATATATTGTTTGGGGTGCATCATGACTGCTCTCTTGTAGACCTCTGAGTCTATTAAACCAAAGAGCACAGAACATGATAATTAGAAGCAGTTTAATTGAACAAAGGTTGGATGCCCCAAATGATATTCTGTCACATGGGGGGGGGGGGCACAATACAAGCCTATAATTAAAGTATATAACTAAAAAAAAAATCTCCTGAAAACAAGCAAACATTTGCCACCATTTCACCTTTCATCTGGTGAACATTGCAGTTCAGTGCACAATTGAAATGACGCTTCGGTATATCTTGGAAAGTTAAAAAATATTACTTTTCTATAAATATTCATGTACACATTTTAGGAGATAAATGCATTTAAATTCACAAAAAGAGGTTTTCATAAGAAATCTGAGTTACCAAACTGAGTACAGAAGTATTTTCTTAAAACTAAAGAAGATTGCTAGTAATCAAGTACGAAATTCTGTCTTCCACACTGAAAAATGTTCCCTCACAAACCGCAAAAGTCTTACAATAGTTTAACTGGCAAAACCTGCCTGATTAACATTGAAAAACAATTTTGGGGACAACAGGTCCATATATTATGTGTAGAGGTCAGCCTGAGGCATGGAAAACTTCTGTGTTCCCAGGTTCTATGACAACATAATATCAGTAACTAAAAACAAGTTTTTCTTACTGAAAAGATTAAATAGCTTTAACTAGTATCATGCTGTTTCTGCAAAACAGTTAAATGGGGAGGAAGCTCTTAAAGGAATTCATAACATTTAAAAAGAGTCAGTTTTGAAAGATTGGAAGTTTTGCAGATGTGAGTGGGCAGAACTAATTTATAATTCAAATTTGAATCTAGATACAAAACTTGTTGTGGATATCGGATGACTGGCTTTAAAATGTCCATTAATGTTTTCCCAAATTGGGATGGAACTAAAATGCACCGACCAATATGTTAAAAAATTAAAATCTGTTTCCATGGATTCTCTGTCATGGATTCAGTAGTTTTTTGAAGGCAACCATAAAGCTGATGTGGCCCGCAATGAAAATGAGTTTGACTTCCCTGCCCATCTCTATAAGTGGAAACCTTAGGATAGTACCCAGTTGTGCTTTCCAAATGACCTTAAAGGCTAAATGGAACTACAAGGAGAAAGTGTCTCAGATAATCAGAATTTAAACTTGTCTTGCTAGCAAGTAAGCCGACAGTGAGGTTCTTTCAACAGAGTTTATGTGCTGGTGGTATGTTCTCCCGCTTAAGGAAGCATTCTGCACCCATTCCATTTCCTGGACCAGCCCTTCATAGAGTGTTCTGTAAATAGCTCAGCCTTGGCTTTACTCATTTCTTGGAAGAATATAGTCAAGCTGCCATCGGCCATTGAAGTCATAGCAGGCATACTAGCAAAACCTAAGTCACTTCAATCTACTAACATCTCTTTGGCCTCCAATGGCAAAGATGGATCCAGAAGTATCCCCAGGCTTCAGATTTATCATTTAAATGGAGTATCACTCTGCCCAGAAGAGGGATTCTGCCCCAGAAATGGGGTTCACTCACTCTCAAGCTATTTTCTTTCCATGATTCAGCTCCAGTTTATCATCCTGTTACCATAGTTGATGGTATCAAAAGACGTTGAAAGATCAAGCAAGAGAAATAGTTGTTCTCCCCGGTCTCTCTCTCAATAAATGTAATCAGATTCATGAAAGCCAGACCCATTCTGAAATCAGAACAGAACTTAAACTGAAATGATTGTAGCCAGTTTTTCTTGAGCTATTTGACAGGCAATTTCCCCCAAATATGCACTCTTTGGCGGCAGATTTTTCTTTCTTTGAAGTTCTCCTGGGACCAGCAGGATATGGCTCAGAGGCTGGCACTGGTCTCCAGATAATTACTTTTAGTATGGGTTTGCAATTTCTCAAGTCGCATCTGGCATGAAAAAAAAAGCATGGGTGCATAGAAATCAGTATTGATTTAATAATGCAAAAGTGTAGCAGTGGCATTGCTACATTTCTCACAGTAACCTTGAAAAAGTAATGTGTCCAAGTGGACACTGACAGGGATCCTGGGGTACAAAGTGGGATGTATCAGGAGAAATCACATTGTCTCTTTAAGAACAACAATGATCTCTTTTACTATGTTCACGTTCTCTCCCACCTTGAGACTCAATGTGGCTAATAGTATGGACAAGAAGAAAGTGCTGTGTGTTTTTTTTAAAAAAACTAATGGCAGAGTTTAAAAATCAAGTTTAAAAATTATTCAATGGGCTTATTATTAATTTGAAAGAATTAAAACATTAAGAACATAGTCAGAAGAGAAAACGGACAGCAGACTCCATAAAAAATTATTCTGCTTCAGCCCATTGACAGCCAAAGGCCATTGAAAACACTCTTCTAGATATGTCTTTGACTATGGCAGGACCAGGAAAATATAGTTCCCCAAGTAAAAACCTGGGGTCCTTCCACACAGGCATATTAACCAGAGTATCAAGGCAGAAAATCCCCTAATATCTGCTTTGAACTGGGTTATCTGAGTCCACACTGCCATATATTTCAGTTCAAAGCAGAAAATGTGGGATTTTATTCAGCTGTATGGAAGAGGCCTTGGTCTACATTACGATCATAAACAGTGGTATAGCCACTCTCTTCAAGGCATACAGTCTAAAACACAGAGCTATAAGTGATTGGAACATCTGAAAATCAACATTTGGAAAACATTTCCTAGTGCATTCATACTAAGTTCTACTGAAATCACTTCGATCAGTACATAAAATCTCAGATATCAATGTGCCATTGGTTTGTTTCCAGTGTTTGGCTGCTCTAAGGCAACCCTGTCATGGAATTTCTTGGCAACATTTGTACAGAAGGGGGTTGCTAGTACCTTCCAGTGGTTGAGAATGTGTGACTTGCTCAAACTCAAACACTGGATTCTTATACCTGAGTAGAGATTTGAACCCTGGTCTACTGAGCATAAGGGTATATCTATACTGTAGAATTAATGCAGTCTGACCCCACCTTAATTGCCATGACTCAATGCTATGGAATCTTAGGGTGTTTAATTTAGTGATGCACCAGCACTCGGGCAGAGAATCCTAAAGACTTTGTAAAACTATAACTCCCATGATTTCATAGTATTAAGCATAACAGTTACATTGTGTCAAATAACTTTACAATGCAGATGTATCCATACTTTAACACTAAAACCACTATATGATAGCCAACACTAGTCCCATACTCAAACCACTTTACGACACAGGTTCTCGAACCCCCAGTCTTTTATTATTTACTTGACGTATGTGAGACGTTGAACATGTTGCTTCCCAAACATGCGTATTTTGTTTTCTGTGTGTATTGTGGCCGCTTTAGCTTCTGCCTGATGAACTGCTTTGCTGATTGTTACTAATGCTTAGTTGTTTTCCCTCCCCCTTGGTGTGTGGTATTGGGGTTTATATCCTAGCTCTTCATACAGATACAGCAGCTGGGCTCCTGATCCGCAGCATTCATTTGGTAACACAAAGAGTCAACACTCAGTGGAAACAGGAAATGAGCATATCACTGGCTGCATTAGAGCTTCTGTCTGGTTTGGCAAAGGTGAGTATCAGCCAGGTTCCCTTCCAGAGACTGTTTCTGTTAGATTGTGGGATTTGGGCTCATGCTTTCAATCCTTTACAGCCAGAATTTCATGCCTGATGATATCATGGAGAGCTTTTATTCTCGAGGAATATCTGACTCAGCTGGAAAAATAATTTGTTTTGTGCTAAGGGACCATCACTACCCTGACGAGTATGATACACCCCCCCCCCCCTTCTTGTAAAGGCATATTTGCTTCTCTGTTTGGTAAAGGAAATTATATTGGTTGAACAATCCATATGGAGTAGCATATTTATGGAGGCAACATAAATGGATAAAAGTCAAGAAGACTTTTCATACCAAATAGGTAAAGTAAATGGAAGAGGGCCAAAATTAATAATTCCTTTATGTTGCACATCATGTAACATTCCCATAATTTACATTCTTTTTTCTTAAACTAAGCTGACAACGAAACTAACGGGGATGGTGTGACTTTCTGAAAAGGTTTAAGCTGAATATCGGTCTGTAATATTCATTTCAGGTGAAGGTTGGTGTTGATTCTTCTGACAGAAAGAGAGCAATTAGTTCTGTGTGCTCTTACATTGTGTACCAGTGTAGTCGCCCAGCCCCTCTCCATTCCAGAGATCTTCACTCCATGATAGTGGCAGCATTTCAGTGCCTCTGTGTCTGGCTTACTGAACATCCAGACATGCTTGATGAAAAGGTGAGTGAAGCACTGTCCTCTGCCTCTTAGAAACTGAATTATTTTCCCATTAATCATTTAAAATTGTACTGTGACAAGCAATTTCATTAGATTGTAAGGTGTTCCCACGTTTTTCAAAGCCACATTTTGAAACCTGAACAGCAGAAATATAAAATCCAACTTAGAGAACCAGCTTTCATCATCCAGTAGAAACAATTTCCGTAACCAACCACTGAAAAATGCCAATTGAACAGCACATCTTTAGTTCTGTTTTTCTTAATAAAATTGTAGCATGGAGTTTAGAAATAGTTTCGGTGACAGACTATATGTTCTTAATGTTTTTATATACACAATGTCCTTTGCTGTATCCAGTCGCAATGCAGTTCTATTCCCCAGAAGCTAATGAACTCATCAGTGGTTTCTTCTGGCGTGCAAATCCAACTTAACAACAATTTAAGTTGTTTTTAAGTTGGATTTGTATGTAAGTCAGAACAGGTACATTTTTAAGTGTAACTCTGGCCGTTTTAAAAAAAGTTTTGGATGGCATAGGGAATGTTTTTTTGCTGTCTGTTCAGACGATTTCACCTTCTGTCCCTGTGATAACTGGATTTTGAAAAATTTGGGTTGTTGTGAAAACAAGGATTGGTGCTAAAGCTTCCATGGATACGCTTTTTGCCCATGATAACCCTTACAGGAGTGAATTTCCCTTCCTGGGGTAATTCTCTCACTTCCTGTTGTCTCACCCCTGTTTGTAGCAAGTCGTATGCAATTCAGATGTTTGTAACTCGGGGACTGCCTTTTATGGGCTGGACCTTTTAGTCTTAAGCTCTGTAGGCATAGGATAGAAGAATTAAAAAAAGGGCAGTTGGAGGGAAAAGGCCCAGAATAAGAGATAAATGGTTAACTGCCAAAGAGGAAGAAGGAGGCTGGGGAATACCAAGTTTAGAAGCATATCATGGTGCATTTCAAATCTAAGGCTTGTTAGAAATACAGTACACTAGGGAAAAAATGAGTAAATAGGTAAAAAATAATAACATTAAAGAAAAAGAAATAATATTAAAGGAATGGAATAGAAGAAATGTATTACATGCAAGATACCAGGAGTTTATAATGTGCAAAAGGAAAGAGTGGTTGACAAATTAATAGCATGTGCGCAAATTGTTTTAGTGAGGGATTGGAAAGATAGAACAAAGTAGACTCTGACAAATTGGTATAATTATATAGTAAATATGTTAAATGTGGAAATAACAAATTGTAAATTGAACAATATAGACAAAATAGAAAATATTAGAATAATTAAGAGTATGTGAGGTCCATTGGGAATTATTTAGAGACTGTATTAAGATGTGGAGTGGAAAATTCAAATGTAATTTCTGTAGTTTATTGTATAAATTGTGTGTCCAGGGGGAGTGGGGGACACACATTAAAATAAAATAAAAACAACCCCCCCCCCCAAAACTATATAAAATGTGTTCAAATGGACTCAACTAAAATGTAACAAGATGGCTTTCTGTGAATGAAAAAATAAAAAGATCATCAGGCATTAGCTCTCAAAGGAGTTTGTAAGGAGCCTTTGATTGTGTAGATGACGAAAAACTATGGATCGATTCCTCTTAAAGAAATGGATGTCCTCATTCTTTGGTTATCCTAATATATAACCTGTACTGAGGACAAGAGACCACACTGTTTGGACAGGATGTGGAGAAGCGGAATGGCTTCCAATTGGCAAGGATCAGACAAAGCTTCATTTTATCACCCTGTCTATTTAATTTATATGCTGAACATATAATACACAAAGATGGATTAAACTCTGAAAAAGGGGTCATATAAATTGGAGAAAGGAACACCAAGAATTAAAATACACAGATAACACCATACTACTAGCAGAATGTAGCAAATACATGGAATGTTTACTGAAGAAAGTCAAGGAAAAACATGCAAAAGCAGGTTCACAGCTGAACATTAAGAAAACAACAATGATGACCACAGGTGATTTTTATTACTTTAGGGTAGACAATGAAGATATTGACATAATTAAGGATTTCCCATACCTTAACTCAGCCATTAATCAAAATGGGGACTGCAGTCAGGAAATCATAAGACTACAACTTGGAAGGACAGCAATGAAGGAATCAGACAGTGTAAAGATATATAATTGAATGCTTAAAGTCAGTACGATCCATACCATCCTGACTTTAAGCATTCAATTATATATTTTACACTGTTTCCAATTTTTATGTATGGTAATGAAAGTTGGATAGTAAAGAAGCTGAAGAAAATCAACTCTTTTGAAATATGATCCTGGAAAAGAGTTCTGCAGACACCCTGGACTGCAAGAAAGACAAATGTGGGTTCTAGAGCAAATTAAGCCTGAATTCTTCCTAGAAGGCAAGGTGACTAAACTGAGGCTGTTGTACCTTGGACATACCATGATAAGAATGACTCACAAGGAAAGACCACTATGCTTGGAGAAAGCAGTACAAGATGAGGACAACCCCACACAAGATGGATAAATTCAATCAAGGAAGCCACATTGCTGAGTCTGTAAGACCTGAGCAGGGTTGCTGATGATTGGTTGACTGAAAAGACTGTCAATCATAGGATCACCATTACTCAAAGTAGACTTGACAGTAGTTAACAGCAACAACCATCCAAACAATGTGTGTTTGCAAATAGCATGAGCTATGTTGCATTACACCAGGTCAGGCCTGATAAAGTTTCAGATCCTTATATCTGATGCCACTATTGTACTCTGTAATTTCTTCTTTCCTCTGGGGCTTTGTTGCAAATGTGCCTTGAATCACTGTAGTTTTTAACACTGCATTTTTTCCCCTTTGGATGTTCATGTTCTATTAGAAGTTATATTAGTGAACCATTGTCTCAGCCCTTGATAATACAATGGCTCTGCTCTTTTAAGTGAATAAGAAGCAGCATATTCCAAATAAATGTTAAGTTTTCAGTGGAAAGATAGTCTGAGGGAATTGTGGTTATTAGTGATAGAGGCTGGTTACAATGTGGAAACATAACTGGTGAAGCTTGCACAAAAGTTGCACACAGAGACTTTAGTCTTTTTTGTTTTATTAATTGCTTTATGCTGTACTTGTATGTAGTTGTAGGGAATTGACAGCTGATTGGTATGGTTCCTTATCTCTAGGACTGTTTAAAAGAAGTGTTGGAGATTGTGGAATTGGGCATCTCAGGAAGTAAATCCAGAAATAGTGAACAAGAGATCAAGTACAAAGGAGACAAGGAGCCAAATCCTGCTTCTATGAGGGTAAAGGATGCAGCTGAAGCTACCCTCACGTGGTATGGAAAGTTACTGACAATAATTCAGCTGTCTTGGTAGTGAATAGATGGTAAAATGTTTAGGTCAGAGTAGTGATAGCCATTAGCCAGTTTTTGTTACTCTAGCACACGCCTGCACAACAACATGCCGCATGCAGCCCGTAATGCAACTGATGTGGCTGGCCTAGTGCCTCTGCCCCAGCCCCTTTTCCTTGTCCCTGTAACCCTAGCTGCCCCTAGAAAGGAAGGAAGGGGAGAACAGAAGGAAGAGGAGAAAGGAGAGGAAGAAAGTAAGAAAGGGGAGGAAGGGAAAAAGGAGAGGGAAGGAAGAGGGGAGGGAGAAAAGGAAGGTGGGTAGGTAAAAGAGGGAATGAATTCAGCATTCAGAAAGCGTGGTGTAATGCTTTGAACCTTGGACTATGACTGAACACACTGGGTAACTAACCAAGTCAGAAACTCTCAGCCTCAGAGAAAAACAAAGGCAAATCCTCACAAGAAAACTCTGTGATAGGGTGACCTTAGGGTTCCCCTTAGTCTGAAATGAAGGCACACAGCAACAATAAAAACAATCCTAATTAATCATTAATTATACCTTACCTTTGGAAAGTGAGGTGCTAAAAACCTTTTTATGGCCCCAAGAGGTGTAGCCTATCTAATTTTGGCCTCTTCCTACTCACAAGTATTGCAGGTCTAATCTAACAGTTCAGATTCTCTTTAGCCAAGTTGCTCAGCATGCTGATTTGCTTAAGGTTTAATAGTATTAAGAACTTTTCTTTGAAAAGTTAATGTTTATGTGTGTTTTTTTCAAATACTTTACATCTAAGCCAGGCTCCTGTTTTTTCCATTTTTATAAACTCTCATTTGTTTGCTTATGTGTATTAGGAACTGTAGATTTAACTACTTACAATACTAGCTTATGTGACAAGTTGCCCTAAAGCTAACTCTTCCTATCCTCAGCACTGTAATAATGGATTTTTCTGCTATGCGTATTTTGACTAAGCTAATATTATTTTGGTTTGTAGCATCATGCAAATACTTGGAGCTTTTCCTTCGCCCAGTGGTCCTGCCTCCCCTTGTAGTTTAGTGAATGAGATCACCTTAATCAAATATTCCCGTCTGCCTTCTATAAACAAATTCAGCTTTCGCTACTTTGTCCTGGACAACAGTGTCATCCTTGCAATGTTGGAGCAGCCTCTCGGGAATGAGCAAAGTGAGTAAATCCATTTTCTACTTTCTCTGATGTCTGTGTGTCAGATATCAGGACAGCTGTAGTTTTTATGTGCTGCATTTTACAGAACTTTAAAGTGGTACGAAACTCTTTTGTAGAAACCATTAGTCCAGTGAACACAATCCTATCTTGAATTATTTAGATATCCTGACTTGTTCTCAAACTGACAACTGTAACTTTTGATTCCAGCGACTTCTTGATTTCCTGATTAGTGGGATTCTCTGAATTTGTTTGTATGTTTATTTACGGTATTTATACCCGCCCTTCTCAAACCTGAAGGGGATTCAGAGTGGCCTTACAAAGGCAACAATTCAATGTCATATTTACAACACACATAAAATAAACATATACATTAAAAATGAATTTAAAATCTTTTAAAGGAAAGATAATTAAACAATGATATGATTACCTGAATCCATCCAGGGACTACTTGTACAGAGTCCTGTCAGATATTTGTCCATACTGCATGGGATTTCTAAACGTGTGTAAAAACATTCCTGTTGTTTCTAGATGGGATTCTGTTAATAGTGGAATCTTTGGTATTGCTACTCTGTAGATTAATATCTAGTTAGATGGTTGTTCTTTTGATTTATTTGGTTTAAAATATGTATATATTTACTTCTCAGGAACTGGAAGGCAGTTTTCAACGCAAATGTTAAAATATTAAAATAGTATAAACCAATGCTGTACTAAAAAGCAGTAATTAAAACTTAATTCAGGACCAACAAAAAACACTAGTAAATACAATGACGACTCATGAGTCAAATAAATCATTAAAGCCTGACAGGACAAAATGAGTCTCTAGAAAGAGCATTCCTCAATTAAAATGTAAAGAAATCTGAATATACAGTGTGTGTTTATATAATTGGGAGAACCACTGAAAAATTCCAAATGCATGTTTTAGTGTTGTTTTTCTTTTGAAAGTAAAACCTGGAATGATGTTATAGTGAATGTTGGCAACTACATCTCTTTATTTTAAATCAAGCTCTCCGTAGAATAAACTTGCCATGTTTCCTTTTACAGTCAGAATAAGTGATACAAGCAAGACATGTTTTGTTATTACTCTGACTGCAGCTTTTGTAGTCATACTACTCCTTCTTAGTCTTCTGGTTACAAACCATAGAATCCTAGAGTTGGAAGGGGCCACGTGGGCCATCTAGTCCAACCCTTTGCCATGCAGGAAAAGTAGCTCTGGCAGATTTCCATCCAGCCTCTGTTTAAAAAGCCTCCAAGGAAGAGGTCCATGTCCTACTTCTGACCAACATGAAGAACAGGCTTATGCTCCTAACTTGCAGATTCAACTACTTTAATGACTTTGTAGATCTGTTGGTAATAGAATATACCTTTTTCCCTTCTCAATATCGATATGTTATTTAATTTCTCAGTATGTTAAAAGATGGTTCATGCAGTTGTATTTCTTCTTCAGATGATTTCTTCCCTTCAGTCACAATTCTGATTCGTGGGATGTCTGGAAGGCATGCATGGGCCCAGCAGCTCTGCCTTTTGCCAAGAGGAGCCAAAGCAAACCAAAAGGTCTTTATCTCAGCATGAAAACGGCTTGCAATGTTAAACGTGCATGTCCAAACAACTCTCTGATGTCCAGAGTAGTGGAAATATTATATTCTCCTTGACGCAATGAGTTGTTCCTTTATTTCTTATAGTACTCCTATAGTACAGACTTTGTGCAGCATTGACAATTCCAGTCCTAATTCTTTCCATAATGGGCAATAAAGATGGCTAATTTTATTCACTGAAAAGGGCAGAATAAAGATTCTTTTTTTTGTTTTGTTTTTTCTGATGCTGTAGTTTTTATATATTGCTTTTCTACAAACATCACTGAAGTGGTGTACAACAATAACTCCACTAACAGCATGAACTGGATTTTTTGTGTAATAATTGCCATATTGTGCCAAAAAAATATCAAGCGGGTGCAGACTAAAACAAAATGTTCCTCATTGGCTTAGCTTTTCTATTACTAATATTCAGTTGCATATGGGAGCACCACCCATCCTTGTTCCAAAAGGTTTCTTAATATGCAGTAAACTCTGTCAATATTTGTTGCTGATATAATTTTGGAAGAACTAATTTCAGTTGGACCTCTACATTTGTGGGTTCAGCTTTTGCTGCAGATTTGATTAAAATGTTCTTTCTGGGAATCTCTACATCCTCCAAGGTGATTTTGTGGTCAAATTCTGCTGGAAGTTGATAATAATCACCCTGGAGGACCCTAGAGGTTCTTTGAGAGGTAAAAGAAATGTTTTTAAATTCTAGCTTTTTCCACTTTTGTGGGGGACTTGCGCCCTTATGGCCTGCAAAAGTGGAAGGCTTATTGTATACTGCTGTAAAACAAGGGTGTAAACCAAGCTGCCATAGGATTTTTTAGAGTTCCTTTCATGTGGTTTAGAATTAGAAGTTGCACCCTTTCAAGTTAACATCTGTGTTGGAAAGTGTATACAAATGTAAGAATACCCATGCATATGTTGGACAAGTGGGCTTATTAACAAAAGACTCTCATAAATGTACAGCAGAGTAACTTATTAGCAGCAGCATGACCCAGCACCAGTAGCCCAAAGTGATAAAAAGAACAAAATCACACAGGCCAGTGTTATCCCTTCCATAGGAGGCTTTTCTTTATAGCAATAATATGGTTGTATATTTACAAGAATAACGTTCCCTAACACAAATAAAGTTCTTTATACCCCCTTCTTTGCTTCCACGCTGGGCTTCTTTCTCATGCAGATAAACAGCTTCACTCTCACAGAGCCTCTTCTCAGACTGAATTTACACAGGAGCTTCACACAGTAGCTTTTTACACGCAGCCGCTGTCACACACAATGGCCTTCAACCTGGAGCTTCTCTCCCTGAAGCTTCTCACACCAGGTGTACTCACACTGAGGCCTTTCTTCCACTGAGGCCTTCTCACATTGAGGGCTCTCTCCGACTGATGACTCTCACATACTGAGGCAAACGAACACTGACGCCTTCTCATACTGAGACCTACTAACACACTGAGGCCCTCTTCCTACAGAGACCTCTCACAGACTGAGACAACTAAGCTACAGGCACACCTGCTTATTTTGAACTACTTTTGCACAGTCATGCATCTATTTAACCCTTTCAGTGTTTGACTCACATTTTTATAATTAAAAATACCTAGTTAATTTTTAATATTTTTCATCATATACTTTTATGTGTTTGCCCTGAAAAAGCATTGTGAGGCTGAGGTTGGTACAAAACACATCAGTTTGGTTGCTGATAGAAACTAACAACCAAATTAAAAGTAGGATCTTTAATTTGGGCTGAAATAAACCAATAAGGAAACAGCTATCAATGATTCTTAAAGTATTGGTTCAGTAATAGCTTTGAGGAATTGCTGTGTCTTGGTCAATCACTGCAACTCTACCCTACCTTGGGATCTGCTTCAACATTAAATTATTACATTTGCATTACTGTGTAACATTTTCCATTCACAATACTTATTTTCAATTTCTTAAAACAGACATTCGTTCCAGAGCCTCGTCCTGCACCTAAGAATGATGTTGGTCTGAAATATAGTGTGAAACACCGTCCATTTCCAGAGGAAGTAGACAAGATTCCTTTTGTGAAAGCAGACTTGAGCATCCCAGACTTGCACGAAATCATTACTGAGGAGGTAAGAGGTTTCTGGTATTTTGGTTTATTATTTGTGTTTTATGCAAAAAAACAAACAAAACACCACGTTTCAATGAGAGATAGGGACACTGATTTTTAGCCACTTTTATTGTTTTTGCATCTCAGAAAAAGAAGGCACCTGATGCACTGTGTGTGTCTGAGAAATCTCATCTATTGACATTCCCTGCATGCTAGACATTCAGATGAAGCTGAACATTGCTGGAGCAGATGTTTTACAGGAAATTAATGCCAGATTGCAGTAGAGTATGCTATTGTTCTTGTTCCTGCCATATCCTCTGTAGGTGAAAGGTCGGCTGGTCAGTCTGTGCAGTTAACATTCCTTGCAGCTGTTCATTGGTGTCAGGCATAGACTTTGGGATGCCACAGTGCAGGTGTGGAACAGCAGGTGGCTTAAATCTCTTGTAATCTAGTAGTTGTATTAGGTAAAAAGCTGGAACAAAAAAGCATCAACATTTTCTGGCACTCAAATTTGCTGCCGTTTAGCTTATCAGAGTTGCTGCTACCATTCTTCCGCAGCTGGGATTGCATTCAACATGTCTGAAATGAAGCTGTTCTATACATTTTAGCTGGAGGCGAAGCATGAGAAACTGAGAAATGGTATGGATCAGCAAGTTCTTTATGAGAAGTCTATAGATCAGCAGATGGAAGAAGACTGGAGAAAGAAGAACTTCCCTGATCCTGTCACGGAATGTAAGCCGCCGTCTCCTGCGCAGGAGTTCCAGACGGCCCGCCTCTTCCTCTCCCACTTCGGATTTCTGTCACTAGAAGCACTGAAGGTGACTCAACTTCATTTGATATTATACACATGACTGAAATCAGGGCGACTGTTATTGAATATTAGTTCCAACGCTTACAGTCTGCAGTAGGCAGGGCTTTATGATAAAAACACAATAATACCAGAGTTATGTAAGTTAGTTTCATAAAGAGTTTGCCCTTTTTGTACCATTTGTGGATATATGTCTTAGTATAAATGCTTTATGAAAAATGGATTCGTATCTGGCAGAGGGGTGAGACATTAGATTTTAAAGCAAGGTCCTTTTCATTTTTCTATGTTGTGTGTTTCTTACTTTCACTATGTTAGTGCAGTAGCTGTTTCGATGAATCACTTTTTTGAACAGAGCTGTGTAGGCATAGTTGGGCACTTGCTGCAGGCTAACCATTGGCAAGCCTTGGTTCTCTTCTTATAGCTTATTTGTTCCTTCAGCTTTGACCTACTGTTTGCTCAGTAGTTCTTTGCTTTGTAAGCAGGCAGATGGGAACAATAAGGAACAATACCACTACTGAAATACTAATAAAAACTGCAAATGCATTTTTGAATCTACTACAGTGAATTTTAGTTTTGTATATGATTTAATGGATTTTAAATATTGATATGTTTAATTCTGTTTTGGTGTTTGCATATTTGTATATTTTAAATTATGTGGTCATACTTTTAATTGTAAGCTGCTTTGAGCCTCCTTTAAGAGAGAGAAATGGTATAAATAAACATAATAATAAATAAATAAATAATAGAATGACAGAATTATTATGGCATCACTAATATCATGAAAGTACCAGATCTGGTCTGATCTTGAAAACTAAGCAAGGTCCGCCTTCATGAGAACTTGTTTGAGAGACTGCCAAAGAATACAATGTGCTGCAAGTTATATTTCAGGGGGAGGGGTCTAAGTACCTTGCCTAAGGAAACACTTTAAAATTTGGAGTCGCCATAAGTCTACAGGTGACTTAAAGATACATATGTTAGGGAAAACTACCCTAAAATATAGCAGAGCATCCAAAAATCAAACAGGATTCAAGAGTTGAGCATCAACTCACAAGATGCAGAGTGTGAAGTGCCGTGTGATGTGGCTGTAAAGAATTCAGAGCTTAGGCAGGCAAAGTTGCAATGTTTAAGTCCAATCTTAAACATCATAAAAAGGTTTATTTACAATAACAAATAGGTACAGTCCAACTGTCATTCAGGAATTGGGGGGAGGATTCCCTCAGCCTATTCCTAAGCTATCCAACTGTTTCTCATTGAGGACTGCAGACTTGAGCAGTGTGGGGTTGAATTCCAACAACAGACACACATAAATGCTGCTGCAGCAGCAGCAACGTTCCCCCCTCCTTTTTGGGTTGTTACTGATTTTGTATAACTATTATACTCAAGTTCTGAAAGAATACTTTTTCTGGTACATAAACTATCATTCCTCTCAAATTTCATAGTGCTTTGGCATGATTCCCCCCCCCCCCCCAGGGGTGAGAAAGGCGGTATATAAATACTGGAAATAAATAAATAAATAAATAAATACATTCTTACTAGCCTAATTTATATTTGTTTTTTGTTTACTTGTTTACCTCCCATCTTTTTATAGCATGGGACCAAAAGCAGTTTACAATAATTTACAATGAAATTCAGCTAAAATCTTATGTTACAAATGTTGGTTATTAATTAAACAATTCTGTTAAAAAGAGGCCCCATTAAAACAGCCCATCTATGTTAGCCTAATCTGCCTGGATGCAACCAGAGAAACACTGACCTTTATGTTCTTTGTGATTTATTTACTTGCTCATCAGCTATGTTCATTATTCTTCCATCATACAATTCAAGGCAATATATAATAATAGGATTTCCACCTAGTTTCTCATTCAGGGACTGACCAGATCCAGATCCACTTAGTTTCAGGACGATTTCCACACCATACTCTTGCAATCAGCTAGTGTTAATACATGTGCCTGATTTATCGAGTACATTGTATATTAATAAACCTAACTAGCTCATCACACTATAAATAGAGATTGTATAGAATATGTAATACATTTGAATACAAATGTAACATTCATATGTCTTCTTTGTTTGCTTAGGAACCTGCTAACAGCAGACTACCTCCTCACCTGATTGCACTTGATTCTTCTTTGCCTGGTTTTTTTGATGACATTGGTTACTTGGATTTGTTGCCATGTCGTCCTTTCGATACAGTTTTCATTTTCTATATGAAGGCAGGCCAAAAAACAAGCCAAGAAGTAAGTGGTGTGCTCATTCACAATTGGTATTATTCTTGCTTAAGTTACTCTCTCCCAATTATGCTAAGAGTAATGAGATATAAAAAACCCTCAAGCCTTGTTGATGACGGTGTCCCAGAACTCTCTTGGCCTCTAAAGTTCCACCAGGTTCTTCTCTCTCTTAGTTATATGTTTATTACTATAACAGCGAGACGTTTCTTTCATAAGAATGCTTTTAAAAAATTAAACCCAGCAACACATTAATTCAGTTCAGTTGAAACTATTTCTGTGCTCATTTACTCCCTCTTCCTTCATGTGCCTGACTTTAGGAATAATACTATGTTCTTGTTAAACCAGTCTTTCACATGGTGTCTAAACTGGGAAACTAGTTTGAGTCTGCTTGGAAACAAATGGTACCATGTTAGGATTTTTTCAGCCGCTGTGGCATTTTTAAGGTTTACAAGAGTTTTCTGGCATATGTTTACGCAGGCTGAAGTCTACTTTGTCAGATGCAGACCAGAAGCTGATCCGAGCTGGTGTGCAAAGATTAAATCATAGTTTACTAGTTGATTATGAGAATATTTAAATAAATTATTATATCTGTGCGGAAACAGGGCAAAGAACGAGTGAAAAAGCAGAAGGCTCATTTTTGGTCTGATAAGCCATGGTCCAGCATCACATGGCTATCATATCTTCTCTTCACCATCAGTTTTTTTTTCATTCCTGTCCTTGCAACTTGATGTAGTTAAAGCTCTTTCTGGCCTTGTTTTTAAGAGATACATTCATTATTACTCTCACAAAAGAATTCATTATAAACTCTTTGTTTTATACAGTTCTCTTCCTTTCTTGTGCTAACTATAAAGCTTGGTACATCAGGACAGCATTTATGAACACCTTCAAGGTTTTTGAAATGTTTTAGTGTAAAATTATTAATATAAATTCCATTTCTTTCTGCAATGCTTGTCTTCTTCCTGCTTGGCTGCCTTTCTTCCTTCCTTCCTTTCAGATTTTGAAGAATGTAGAGTCTTCCAGAAATGTTCAGCCGCACTTCCTAGAGTTCTTGCTCTCACTTGGATGGTCAGTTGATGTGGGAAAGCACCCTGGTTGGACAGGGCATGTTTCAACTAGCTGGTCCATTAACAGCTTCTGCGATGATGAGGGATCTGAGCAAGGTGCGAAGCTGTGGTGCAGAGTTTTTTCTGCTTTAATGCTTTCTGTCATTTACATGGTTTTGATTTTAATGTTTCAGAGGAGGATAAAATTGAGAGTTAGCTCATGCAGATCCTCCAGTATTAGAGCACATCCTCTGTTCAAGATCTCAGTGGTTAAAATGCCCCTTGAAGTGAACACTTGCTGCATTGGAAGAGATGAGAAGACTGTACATTTGCTGCTACCATCATTTCAGTGTAATTTTGAAAGGAGGACCTTCACATTGTTGCTTTTCTTCTTGTAGTCAAGACTCCTTCAGGAGTGAAGTGGGAGCGTGAGGGGTATTCTTGGGTTATTGTAGTCATTGGAGATGCTTCGGTCACTACCTGTTGTAAAAGAGAACTCTCTTGGGAATCGGAAGACCATCTTCCAACATGGTTGAAATTACTTTTTTTTTTTTTGCAGAATTGTGTGTATGTATGGGGATTTTGCTTTCCAAAGTCCTTTGAGAGATTATATTACTATATTTAAAGTATTTCTGTATCTCCTCCCAACCCATAAGGTCTCCAAAAGCAATGAACAAATAAAAATCAAGTAAAACAATACAAAGATTTAAAAAACATTTTAAAACATATCAAAATCACTTTTTAAAAAAACCTGTAAAAGAAATGTAGCCACCTTGTCTCCAGTTGTTGTCCATTCCTGTTTTAATGCTTTGCTTTGCATGGATTTTGATCTCTCTATGATTTATCATGGTTTTAGGATGTTGGCCTAGAAGTTAATAGTAAGTTTGAAAATGAGAAAAATATAGCTCCTGTTGCAGACCTTGGAAGCCATGTTTTACGAGTAACAAGATTGCCTGTCGCATTTTACTTCGACAGTTTCCCAGTTTACTTCTTAGAACAATAACATTATAATTTTATTTATTATTTATTTACTTCATTTTTACCCAGCTTTTCTCACCCTGCAAAGGACTCAAGGCGGCTTACAAACTCCAGGAAAATTCAATGCCACATGGACATAACAATAAAACATGCCCATCAAATTATAAAATTGTTAAAACATATGAATAATCAAAACACTTCAACAATAAAACAGATTAAAAACCATATAAAGTGCTGACTCTTGATCTCATACTTTTCCATAGTCATTTTCTGAAGTCTATAGTCATTATTCAGGTTATTGAAGTCCAATTCCGTAATATCCTATTCGCTAACGCCTGTGTACAAAGCCAGGTCTTAAGCTTTTTTCTAAAGGCCAGGAGGGATGGGGCCTGCCTAATGTCACTATGGAGGGAGTTCCACAGCCGAGGGGCCACCACTGAGAAGGCCCTGTCTCTTGTCCCCACCAATCACAGTTGCGAAGAGGGTTGGATTGAGAGCAGGGCCTCCCTAGACAATCTTCAAGCTCTTGTTGGCCCATAAAAGGAGACAAGTTTGTTATGACAGTGTGTTTTGCAAATATTTTTATCTCATGCCATGAGTAATATTTTCTTATTACTTTTTCACTATTTTTGGTGGAGGCAAAAACGTCATAGGAGGCATTTTGAGGAGACATTTTCAAATGTTTGTTTCCTGAAAAGGGGGTATGAGAAGTAAGGGACATATACAGAAGTTTTTAAAACAGTTATGTTTCTTTTGCAGCAGGTGGGTTTCATAATAAGTTACACAGTATAATTTCTGTAAACCGTAACTTTCCAAACTTATGCTTAAACGTCATGAACATCTTCCCATTTATTTTTTGTTTCCTTCATTCTTAGATGAAATCATCTCTTCAGAAGATGTTGGAGCCAGTCTCTTTAATGGGCAGAAGAAAGCACTCTATTATGCAGATGCTCTTACAGAGATAGCTTTTGTAGTCCCTTCCCCTGTGGAGTCCTTAAGTAAGTATGCTGTGTTTGTGTCTGTTGAGTCTATGACCAATATAAAGATTTCAGTGTTTACTTTAGGAATACATCATGATTTGCAACAGTTTGTGTACAATTTAGTGTGTATCTAATTCTGTTTTGCAGTATATCACCCTTTCCACACATACATGTATGTGTGGGAAGGGTGATATACTGCAAAACAGAATTAGATACACACTAAGTCTTCAGAGGTGTGTTGTAGAGAACCCAAATTGGTTTGAGCTTTCTCTGCATGTTTCTGCTGTCTATGCTTTATCAAAATAGTTTGCATTTAAGTGTTAAGTGATTGCCTGTTATGTACTTAATATTTATCCACTTTTACTTTAAAGTGACATGGCCCTATAAGGATTGTCCAAAGTCTTGGAGCGATTTCAAATCCTGTATTTATTCAAATCTAACGCTCACCCTTTTTGGCTAAATTATCTCGCCAAAATTAGGGTGCACATTAGATGTACGTAATATGGTAATCTTAGTGCTGATTCAAAGCAATAGGGGAAGCTGCTTCAGGAGCACCTGGAGCTCCTATTTGGGGGGTGTCACCCATAATATTGTCATAACTCAATGCTATGTAATCCTGGAATTTGTAGTTTGGTGAGGCATTTACACTCTTTGGTAGAGAAGACTCAAAGCCTTGTAAAACTACAGCCCCCATGACTCCATAGTACTGAACTGAGATAGTTTCATTCTACAGCATAGATGCATCCCAAGGTTTACTATCCCATTGCTGAAAGGTTTGGTGATCTAACATTTCTAAGAGTGCACCTTTTGCTGCTGCACATTCCATTTGTCAGCAAATTTGGTTTCAAGGTTTTGAAAATTGAGGTACACATTAGATCCGATGGTGCATTAGACTTGAGTAAATGTAGGTATAAACTTTTAAGGTACCTGGAAAAACATTGAATCCCTAACATTATTAATTAAAAGGAAGATGCAGAAAAAGAAAGAACCTAAATACCTGCTGCTGATTATGGTTGATGTAATGAAGATAGATGCTAGCTGTGGTATAATAAATTCTGCTTATAAGTTTTATATTGGCATTAAAAATGTATTGATACAATGCAACCAGATGTGATTGATAAATATATTTGGTATGGAACTGCGAAGATTGAATGATCCTAACTGCAATGATCATTCAGACTTCGCAGTTGATTACTTCCTGCTGGTAGAAAAATGTTGGCGTAAGAACAGAGCAAGTGTCTTATTGAGGTGGACCAGTGGTCCATCTAGTTCGTTATTATAGATGCCTAAATGACAATAGCTTTTTGAAGTTTCAGGCAAGAGTTTAGCCGGCAGTACTGGAACTCCCAGAGATTGAATATGAGACCTTCTGCCGTCTGCAAACCAAGTGTTGCAAGTATTTCCTGACAGAAACATCTCCCTTTTGTCTTTTAGCAGATTCACTGGAAAGCAATGCCTCAGACCAGGAAAGTGACACCAGTATGGATCTCCTACCTGGAATACTAAAGCAGCCAGCGCTGACACTTGAGCTCTTCCCCAATCATACAGACAATCTTAGCTCTTCTCAGAGGGCAAGTGTATCCTGTATTTATAAAGGGAGGACTGTAGTTTATATGCAAGTAGTGGTCTCGTTTATCCATTAATTTTATTTCTAACATTTGTATGCTGCCCTATGCATAAAATTGTCTGAGCTACTTACAGTAAAAAAAAAAAAAATCAGAATAGTCAGCCCCTGCAATTAAATAATATGGATTGTGTGACAGATTGTGAAAATATTTAACTCAGAATTCAGAATGCTTTTTAGGACCACATATTTTATTATCTGCAGTAACTAAGGACTTTCTCATGAGGTTTTTAAGCCCAATACAGACATGCTGATCCTGTCCTTCACCCAAGGTTGTTTTTCTGAGGTTTTATGGCAAAATTGTCTCATTTGCAATCCAATGCCAGATTTTTCCCTGGGGCAATAGGAAGCTCCAGCAGATTTAGGAGGAGAGGAAGCTCCCTTTTCCCAGCACTGTGCCCTGTTTACCCCTCAAAAAGACTTTCTCCAAAGGGCTGAGAAACCCTTTGGATCCTGTTTTCATGATGGCTATAGTGGAGGAGGAGAATAACAACATGCCCCATCACATTAGCCCTACATACCATTTTAGATTTGAGTTGAAAGTACACAATTTAGGCTTTGAGGAACCTTCTCTAACAAAGGGAGATCGGAAAAATGTAAATGTAATGATTTCATGTATATTATGCATGTGGAACAAAGATAAAGAAATCTAATCCTATGGGAAATGTTCAAGCTTGGGCCTGCCACAATGCAATATTTAATTTTTTTCTACAATGAGTTGTTGATTTGCTTTGAAATGTTTGTGCAGTGCAGACTGAATGCACACCGTTACTTTATCATTTAGCAAATGCTTGTTCTTGGGATATTTTGTCAACAGCTCAGCCCAACTTCCAGATCAAAGAAGTTGCCGCAGGGCCGAGCTGTTCCTCCTCTGGGACCTGAAACCAAGGTGTATGTGGTTTGGGTTGAACGTTATGATGATATAGGTATGTGAAGCATTTTTGCTGTTGGATAGATTGGATGAGAGCAAGTGGCTTTGTGTCCAATTATGTTATGCTTAGACTTAAATATCAGTAATTTAATTTGTTTCTAGTTAAGTTTTCTAACAACTGTTCTTGGTGTCTCAAAAGGAAACACACTTGGCAATTAAACCTATGTTGAATGTCATTATGTTGCAGAGAACTTCCCTCTGTCTGACTTGGTTTCAGAGACAAGTACTGGAGTAGAAACCACAACAAATAGCAGCACTTCATTAAGGTATGGCTTTCCCTTTTTTTCCCATTGTACTGCTTGTAGGTCACTTCTACATGTGGATTACACATTACCTTTTGTTATTTCCTTTACTCCTGGAAGCAATACACCGACACACTACATGTAAGCTTACTTGCTTGTAGATTTTAGCTCCAGCAGCTGTGAGAGTGTATTGGCACTTCAGGGATGGTGGAAATTGCTGTGGAAGAGAATGATAACCATGAAGTACAGCAGCACAGCACATTCTTTCAAGTATGGCAAGGATGGCAGGGATGCTTTACTCATTGAGTAAACTCAGGAAACAGTTACAACAGTAAATGTGTACCATTATCCTAATATTTCATGAACGCGTTGCAGTTAATGTTCCTTTGAGATTCTTTTCTGTGTAATGACTCAGTAATTTGTGGGTAAGCATCACATCATGACCACTCATCTCACTTTTGGTCATTACCAGTTGTTTATTGACTTTTGGGGTAATTAAGTATATCTTTTGTATCGCCACTACATTTTTTGTGATATTGCTGTAGTCTTGTCTATTTCTGTTGGTGGTTAGGAATGTAACAATTCAATATGGTATGTTCAAAAAAATTGAAACCTGCCCAAAATGTATACTGTATTGTTGTCTTTAAATATTCATTGACTTTGTTGACTTTTTTGTGCATTTGAAGGTCCGCTACTCCTGAAAAAGAAGTTGCAGTGATTTTCATCCATCCTCTAAACACAGGATTATTCAGGGTAAAAGTGCAAGGAGCTACTGGGAAATTCAGCATGGTCATCCCACTGGTGGATGGGATGATTGTTAGTAGGAGAGCTTTAGGTAAGTCTTTGAAGTTAGCAGGTGATCATTAACTTACCACAATTAGGTGTGAATGCAGTGTGCTGAATGACACAGGTCCTATGCAACTAGCCATGGTTGCTGGAAGATTCTAGAGGGTCATCCAAAATGCTTACTTTTTCCAATTTCAGCACATATCTATCTGCCTGCAAAGTAAAGTAGCTTTCTTTCCCTTTTTGAAAGAAATCTTTGTCAGGAAACGTTCCATTGTAGTAGGTGATCTGGGAGGCTTTCCTTGGGGTCCCTACTACTGTAACAGTGTCAAGAAGAGACCATGATTGGTGTGCAAGTGGCTGAATGGTGATCTCAAATAACCTTTAGCAAATGTCCTGGAAGGAATAACCAGTATTAACTTCATTCTTTTTCCCATTTAAGGTTTCTTAGTGAGACAAACAGTAATAAATATTTGTCGAAGAAAAAGGCTGGAAAGTGATTCGTACAATCCCCCTCATGTCCGTCGAAAACAGAAAATAGCTGACATTGTCAATAAATACAGGAACAAACAGCTGGAGCCAGAGTTTTATACTTCACTTTTCCAGGAGGTTGGACTTAACAACTGCAATCCTTAGACCATGTCGTCACTGAACAATTAGATCAGAACTTGGTATCTACAGCATTGAGAATACCTTCCTTATCTTGGATCTCCTGTATAAAGTTACCACAACCTGAGCATGACTTCTGCTTCTGTTGCAAGGGAGCCAAGAAAACACACTATAGTCTTCTGCCCTGCAAGCCCTTTGACTACAGCTTCACACCATCACTGCTGCAGAAACAAGCTTTCGTCAGCATTTATTATATAGTAATGATCAGAGGAATATGTAGCAGAGAGAGAGGGTTAACTGCACGCCTTGAAGTTTTCAGTGTTTCCACGAGGTCCCTGATTTTTGAGCAGAGAAGGTTAAGACCTCAAGGTCTGTTCTGGGTATCTGTAGAAGATTCAGGAGCAAAATCTTTCACATCTCGTGAAAACAAGATACATTGTGTGACTGTTTGTCTATTTTTATTTCATACTTGTAAACAAGCCTGGTATAATTTTGTTTAGTGTTAAGACAGCGGTTTCCATTTGGCTCTTTCTTCCCTCTGTCTGCAGACACAAAATGTATGTCCAATAAGCCTGTTACTCAAAGTTGGGTTACCTTTGAAAATGTTGCCACTCTCTACTTCTCCTGATTTATTGGCAGAGGAGGCAGCAGAGGAGTAGACTGCACCTTTGGACCAAAGTTACTCTTGGTTTGGGACTGGTGCATGCCTGTCTAGCAGTGTCCCATCTTATGCACCCATTTTAGAAAGAGGAGCAACAGCCCTTATCATAAAGTAGGGGTTGTGGAAAGAGCCCCATCTTTGCATGTAGTGATAGCAATTCACTATGAAACCTGAACAAAAAGTAATTGAGATGGAAACACTCATTGAAGAACCAAACAGAACTTCCCTTACTGGTCCCACATTTCATCCATTCGCTGTAAGTAAAGTGGTGGACTTATTTAAAAAGCTTAAGTCTTGGAAGAATATGGTTAGGTAATGTCAGGCCATGAGGTTTGTACTTGAAATTATCTGCTGAGTCTGTTCCCTCTCAGTGAAATTGTTTTATCCCTCTTTTTCTTTCATTAGTTGACAATATATCAGTCTGAAGTAGATGTTAAAAAGAGTTGCCATTTCTTGGTCAAAACATCTGGAAACGTTGCAGTCCCCCTCTCCCTCCCCCAGCAGCGGGGGAGTCATATTTCTTCCTATTTCCACGATTTCTGTTTCATTGGCTACTCTGTTCTGTATTGCAGTATACTAAGAGAGCAGAATAGTAATAAATATAGAGCTACAAGTTTTTGATGGTGACAATCACATTAACATCTAGTTCTGGTTTTTAATAAATTATTAGATGACTGAGTATTTTCTTAGTGTTATTTACACATAGAGAAAAATATCATTATTTTAACAACATTCAGCAAACACTGATAAAATCAAGCTGCGTGTTTTACGCGTGGAGATCTGTGGAGAGGATTCTAAAAGAGCTATATACATAATCTGCATCTGGAACAAAGCTGATAAATGGGTGAGAATAATTAACGTTTAATATTGGACAGAACTGATACATATGCAGATAACTAGTTAGAGTTTCTGTTTTAATTTTGTAATCTCTTCTAAAGCAGCACAAACTGTCTTTCCTTAAAGGGCAAGTGGCCAGTATTCTAAAGCAGGAAGAATCCCTCTCCCAGTGATAGTAAGGTTATTTTGTTTCTTATATATCTAAAATTAATAAATACGGCATTTTAAGTTTCTATGCCCAAATAGCCTTTATAGCACCAGAGTGTGAATGCCTGCTCTCTTGCTCTTAATGACAACATTTAAAATCTTTTGCCTTTGCCTTCTGCTTAATCCAGCCTTTCCTGTGTACACTATAAAAAACTTGAATGTGTGTGCTAGCTGTATAACACACACAAAATGCAAAGGTGTTGGCTCAGAGCAGTGGTTCTGAACCTGGGGTCCCCAGATGTTTTAGCCTTCAACTCCCAGAAATCCTAACAGCTGGTAAACTGGCTGGGATTTCTGGGAGTTGTAGTCCAAAACACCTGGGGACCCACAGGTTGAGAACCACTGGCTTAGAGCATTATCTTTCTACATTTCGATACACAGATATTTGAAGGAAGGAAACAACCTAATAGCCCTCAACAGAAAATGCAATAGTGAGTTGGTTTTTTGAACCAAGATAGTAAGGAAAAATATTTTGAAACTAGTGATCTGCCAAACTAGCTAAAGTTAAACAGGTGGGAAGGGAATTTATTAAATTTACACTGGCTGTTTGATCTGGTCTACAGACATGGCCAAATTTGTTATTCAAGACTTGAAATAAATTGTCATTTACCATATCCTTTCAAATTTAATTATCTGGCCTTCAAGAAAAAAATGCTGTTTGTCTAATTGTGATAGGACCTCAAAGATTACTTGTGTAGAAGTCTTTTCCTCCAGGTGTTCCTTTCCAGGTCTGTTTCTCCAGGACTTGACCAGATTTCATACTTTGCTTGAAATAGCCTTAATTTAGTCTATATTTCAATAAGTTCTCAATTAGGCATGATGTTCTAAATCCACGTTATCCTAACTTCAAATATGTATTTTCATATTTACATATCCACCACACAGGTGGATTCAGAATTGAATCCTAAATTTGTATGTGTTTACTACTTTTGACTCTGCTCAAAAAATGCGGAGGAGGTAAATTGAGCAGTGATCTCTCCAAACAGCACTGAGTAATTAATGAAAACGTGTAAGGGCTCGCTTTCACTGCGTTCTCCCAGATGTTGTATATTATGTGATTTTTCTGTACAGATGCTGGTTGTCTGTTTTATACATATGTAAAAGAGAAAGCTTCCAAATGCACTGATAACTTCGTCTCACGTGTGCAGAGCTGTTGACCGACTTGACTGCAATAAAATGTTTTGTCTAGGCCTCTCTAAGCACAGTTGCATTTGAAAAATTGATTCTTTCTATGTTAAATGAGACTCATAAGACATAAAGCAGTCCTTGGGCTGGTGTCTTCCAAATGTGTTGCACTGTTAAGTCCCCACTTCTCAAGACCAAATGGCCACTGGCATTCAGTCTAGGAATCAGGAAAGTTGTAGAGGACACCAGGCTGAAGAAGGCTGGCATAGAGGAAGCATCCGAGGGGAGGGGGCTGTATACATTTCCAGCTCTTGTTTTGAATAGCATGCTGCAGGATAATGAAAAGAATCAAGTTTGTAGAACATACTTGCTTCATACCATTTACGTTGATAGTTCCTCTGATTATTTTGTCTGGCTATTATAATTACTATGTATTGTTTGTTTTCATTTTAGTCTCTTGAAGAGAGACAATAGGGCTATGAACACTTACCCAGTCTCTTTCTATCATCAATATTGTTATGCTTGCAGTCCTCTTTAAAAGAGAGCATTATGCTGATGATAAATCAAGGAAGTAAAATGCCATTTTTTCAGCACTATGATATGACAAGTGTCCATTTTAGTATCTTTATAATAAAGAGTTTTCATTTAAGAAATATAAAGCACCTTTCTTAAGCAAACCCTTCAAGGATAATATAAACGTAAACCAAAAAATTTCAATTGAGAAAGGAAATGAAGGCAATCATGTAAGGAAAAGTCGTCGTTTTGTATGCAGAGATGTATAAAGCAATTGAAGGAAACAAAGCTTACTTCCAGTCTTCAATACGAGCCCTATTTATTTCAGGAGGAACGGATAGGAATGCCTTAAGGATTGTGCTCCCCATTATTCAGTCACTTCCTGGCAGGGAGTTATACAGCTGTCCTTCAGGGTCCAGAATATTTAGTCAAGGAGGATTACAGGACTAATTCAACATCAATAAATGAACAAAAATACAACTGGCTCAGTGATGGTTGCACATTTCAAAGAAAATCTCTTTGAAGGACAACTGGATTCTGCAGGTGTGCTTAGAAGGAGGTGGCTGTATACCATGTGCTTGAAATCATGTACAATTGTGTATAAAGTTCTGTATGTTGCCAAGACATGATCTTTTTGTTCTTACTGTATTTTCTGTAAATATTCCTAGCACTAAGTTGTAAAGGCAGACTGTAAATACAGAGATGTGAAGCTACGTTCCTCTGTCTCTAGTACTTTATCTCTCATTTAGGGGAGGCACAAAGGCTTGTTTGTTATTATGCCAATCCTTTGCCCTGAAAAAACACACCAGATAATGAATGTAACACAACACAACTAGTCAAATAAATTTAAAAGATATTCTTATGTATTGAACCTAGTGGTCCTCAGTTTATGAGATCATGCAGGTATGAGCCAAGATTGGCTAGGCAAGCAAGGATCGATGAAAGGGTTTTTGTTTTTTTCAGATAGGTCTGAAGCAAGAGAAAGATGAACAACGTGGTGGGACTGCACTCCTCAAGCATGGTAAAATGCTAACATCATAATGAACAATGCCTATTACAGTATCTTTCATTTTGCTAAGGATGTACACTAAGGCTAAACTAACAGGACAATTAAATACAGGAATAGTGAGCTCACCGAGGAGGGCATGCTGGAGAGATGATAAAGGCTGTGAGCAAATGGAGAATGGCTCAACCAAATTAATTTTTAAAAACGGAATTATCTGTATATTTATATTCACATTATTCCCCCCTCCCCCTGCCCGATGAGGCAAACATCTGCAACCTCTCACATTTTGCTCTGCTACATTATGCATTAGGGATCTGTGGCAAGAATCCACCACTTACATTATTCTATTCTGGCATTTTGGAAGCTGTGGGTAGCAGCAGAAGGGAGATGGCACAGAAACCTGCCTGGTTTCATCCCAGGAGCCAAAAGTTCATCTTTCTCCCTGGGCAGAAAAGGTTTTTGTTCTCAGCTGTGCTCCTTGCTGCAGTACTCAACTGTTTCATCATTGCTATCACTACCCCTGCTGGCATAGATACCTAGCAAATATTCCATAAAATTACTTTAGATCAGTGGTTTCCAACCTGTGGTCCGTGGACCACCAGTGGTCCCCAAGGACTAAAATATGGTCCACGGCCTTACCATTACAACACCATTGCAATGAGAGCGACTGGTCTTGTGAAACTTATTTAATATGGTTTTCTGTGGGTGAGCAGATGGTGACGACTGGGTGGCCTATGTTCTGTATCAGAAACGAGCTGATATGGTTTATCCAATGCAGTTTTATGAATCGGCACCCTATATAACCAAACCGAATCTAAAGTTGACAAAAAACTGATTCATAACCCTTTATGGCACTAATATTGGAGAGTGGTCCCTGGTCAAAGTGGTCCCTGGTCAAAATAAGGTTGGCAGTCACTGCTTTAGATTATATGTCTCTTCAAAACTTAACAGATCTGCCTGTCTTACCTGATGTAAAGAGGGATGGTAATGCTAATATCACTACAAATGCTTTGTTACATGATATTCTTTTCTGGGCCACTCCTCATAGGGGAGGATTTCCAGAGCCAGACTTTTGGCATCTGAAATTTGTAAAATTTGCTATCCTGTTAGGGCCAGGTTTTGATAGCAAGAGCAGAGTCTCTCCCCTGCACACCATCAGCAAGATAAGCAGCAACATTCAAGATTATATCAAGGTCCACAAACAAACTGCAATTAGAGTAGTGACTAGTAGCATCATTGTCAATAAAAATTGCATTGTGCTGTTGACATTCAGCAGTCTGGAGCAGTTTGCCATTAATCCGGCCAATGTTAATATCAGTGGGAGATTTGTATTCAAAATTAAAAGCTGTTTTCTTAAAAGTTGCCCTTTTGAAACATTTAGTTGCTGTTTGGACTTTATGAATTTTCTTCCCATTTGTTCTAGCTAGGGGAAAAGGAGGCTTTGATATGCAAATCTTCTTTAAGGCCAATATTCTGTCTGTGGGCCCTTGTTTTAGGGATGCCTTCCATTAAATTCTGTTTTGTTATTCTATTATTCCAACAACAGCATCTTGCAAACTCACCTCTCCCTTAATTTGCAAAGCATTCATTTTGGAGTGTAATATTTTGGAAAACTATCAAAAAACAGCCCAGTTCCATGGGCTCTGAGATTCTCCAGGAAGTTGATATTTTCCTGAAGAATCTACGGCAGGAGTCTATATGCTCATTCAAAAATCAAGAGTCGGGATAATTTTGTACTCACAACTCTTATCCTAACAGCAGTTTGATTAGTGCTGCCTGAAAACTCATATAATGTCTTTAGTTTATCTCATATTTCTTTTGCACTTATCAAATCTTTGATGTGATAAACTATGCTAGTATCCACTAGTATGCTAGAATCCACAACTTTGTTGTTTCCTGCTTCTGTGAGTCACTGTCCTTTTACAGCATTATAGATACTTGCATTTGAATAGTCCATGACCAACATTTATAATTACCAACACTGAACTTTCCAGGACATTCCTCTCTTGTGCAGATGGATAGGCAGAGCCAGACTTGTTTCTCACTCTGTAAATATTCTGTATGATTCTGTTGACATTTGGCGATCTATCCGCAGTTCCTTCTGCTTGTTTATTTAACACTTTCCGCCTACATTTACAACTGTTGTGATCCACTCTAAACAGACAGGTGTAATTAAATTCTACCAGGTGTTAGAAGTGAGAATAATATGTATCACATGAAAGGATAACTAGAGAGAGGCTTACTGTGCAGTGCTGCTTTTTAGTTCTTCATAGAGCCAAAGCCATTAAGAAAACATCTTTGTGGCACAGATGTAGTTGCCTTAGGAGCACAAATGGCAAAGTGCTTTCCCATGCTGCCTATAGCCCACCCGTTTTTCCTTCATTTCTGCTAACCTTAGTGCCAAGATGCAGCAGTTCTGCATTTGAATTCTCAGCATGCACCTAACCCCATGTTCATGAAAGCAGCTTTTGTCCAATGTTGCTGTTATGTGACAGCTGAGAAACTCTCGGTTGTTTCTGAATCTCTTGTTCATTGGTGGCAATGCTGGGGTAAGGCCAAAGGCTTCTCAAATCATTGCATTCCCACTTGTGAAGTTAGGATATTTATCATGGAATAATGCATGGCATAATGGAGCAAAAGATATTTCTGGGCAAGAAAGCATGGATTGCTATCGAAGGGTTTTCTCCGCGTTAGTTTCAAGCCCAGCAAATCTATAGATGCTTGCACATTTGCTGCTTCAAAAACCACAGATAATGTATTTTCTTGGTATTCAAACTGAAGAAGACATAGTACAACAACCTATACAAAACTAAATTGATCTGGACCTGGCTGGGATTTGAAGAGAAGACTGTTTGCCTATTGTGCAGTATGTCTGTTAAACATCTGCCATCCTCATATTTATATGTAACTTGTCAGGTATTCTCTATTGTAAGCAATAGACAAGACTAAAAGTACCATACTTAACGGAAGCTCTTTCTCTATGAATTATCTTATCTACCATTTTTTCCTACTCTACTCATAATATAAAGAAACAGTATTATGTTCATTTATTTCAGTGCCTTGATCAACGAACCCATGGAGTATCTGTGGAAATGCTCATATACTACGCATAAGTATTAGTATTTGCTGAGACAGGTTTCATCTGAGCTCTATCACTATTGACTCTATATATTTTTTGCCCTGAAGAAAAAGGCAAGATGCTTAGTTAAATTTACAAAAAATAACTTGACTGATATCTAATTTAGGAGGCACACCACAGTTGGGCAGCCGAAGAACACATATAGATTTGTCAATATATAATAAACAATAGATTCAGGAGGAATGGTCTAAGAGGCACTGCTGTACACCATAATCTATCACTTGAAGCAATTGCTTCACTGGGCTTCATGATAGTGTTGACTCCCATGTTCTATTGCTGGAAGCTATAAATTACATGGAAAAGCAATGGATATTGTTCTTGGCTTTGGTGCTTTTGTTACAATATGCTACCTCATTTCAAGTCCAGGTCTAATGCTAAGAAGTAGCATTTCACCCAGGCTTTATACACCCCAACTTGAGAGTTCATCACCCAAGGATGAAGCAGAACATCTGAGCAGATGCCTCATAAGCAGCCCAGTCCCTCCCCAATTTATCTTGAGGTTCACCCAAGCCCTCCAGAGCTGCTGGGAGAAGGGGAAGCATGACCACCGAGCTCACAAAAAAGATGAAGGCTCAGGTGGCTGGCACAAACATTTCCTTGCATATGCAATGAGGAAATGGAAAATGGCTCCAAGAAAAACCAGACTAAACCTCCATCTTATTTGCATTAAGTGGCATTACCACAACAGGAAACAGGAGGCAACAGGAAACTTTCTTAGTCTTACCTGGAGATACCTAGGACTGAAGATTTTTAAAGTGCTTTATCTCGGAGCTATATTTTCCTGCCTCCACTTAAGAAAATACAATTTTAGTTAACTTTTGCTTTTCACCATAGTCAATCCCATTCTATTCCAAAGCAGATTGTTATTATTTATTTATTTATTTAAAACATATTCCGCCCTACTCACCCCGAAGGGGTCTCAGGGCGGAGCACAACATAGACACGGCAAACATTCAATGCCGGGACACAAATTCACATACAATACATAAACATTAATAAACATTTATCAAAATATTAAAATACACAATTTAAAACCATCCTAGTCATCCGCATCAAATCTATTTGGCCTGGTCATCTTTCCTATTGTCGCTTTATTGCCCTGTCCCGAAAGCTTGGTCCCACAGCCAAGTTTTTACCATCCTTCTAAAGGACAAAAAAATCCTAAACATTAGGAGTGTCTAGTGATACATCTCTTCTAAGATTTCAACCCAGGCTAGTATCTGGGCTTCAGGAATGCCTAGAGTGCTACCATCTGGCTCCTTTGAATCATATTTAATATAAATTTAGATACAGCCAACATGCTGGTAATATAATTGGAAGATTTAATCGAGCAACGCTTGTACTAATTCACTTAATAACATTTTGATGTTTGTTTGGCTGAAGCAAAATCTGAGTATTATCCTTGATTGAAGGAATTCAGGTGGCTATGGCATTAAGAGCTCTGAGGAACTATGTATTATGAACAATATACTGATTGATACAGTTGTGTAGGGTTTGCATCTTTTAACTCTCCTACATCAGGACAGGGCATTTTAGTTCCTTCGGTCACACAGAATAGCATTCCCTCC